TTTTTTTTAACTATACCTTGTCCAGTCCAATCTCTCACATTCTTGATTTTTTTGTTGCATTTTTTGTTTTGTTTTTGTTTTTAAACTTTATTCACACATGATTACACACCATGGCATTCAACTATAGTGTAAAATTCATTGGTTTTTAATATATATAGTTATGCAGCCACCACCAGAATCTCTTTTAGAACAATGTGGTCATCCCAAAAAGGAGTCTTGAACCCATTGTCACTCCCCAACTCCATTCTTTTGCATGTGGATATCCAGTTGTCCTAGCACCATTTCACATTCTTGCTTTAGTTAAAACCTTGTTTCCTCCCCTGCGGCTGAATCATTCTCCATAGCCCTCAACTAGAAACTCTATTCTTTATACTTTATGAACCTCAGGACTGGACAATTTTCTTACTCCCCTTGTTATATAGAATTTTTTCTCTTGAGAGAACATAGCACACGCTTCATTATAACTGCCTTTCAGTAGGCTGTAGATTTTATGACGGAGGGAACTATGTCTTTTTTTTATTGACTTATAGTGCCTAGCAAATACTAGCTTTTCAAATATTACTAAATGCATGAATCCATTAATAAAGAGAAGCAAGAGAAAACTGAGTTGGCAAAACAAAGCCAGGTCATAGGTTCTACAGAACTGATTCTATAGGCCAGAGGTCTTTGTACTCTTGTTGTTAGCAGAACACTTTTTTTTCCCAACTGAAATTGCAGAAAATGTAATATGTGGAATACATAAAAATGAAGCTGTGTTGTTGGTGCAGCAGTAAAGTATCTCCTTGGAACACAGGTTGAAAATCACTGTTATGAGCAGCATGTGGGCCTTAGAGATATTTGAGTGAGGTAGTGACATGATGTGAAATTAACAGCATGTAATGATAGTAGGCACAGCAGAGAGAAGAGAATAGAGACTGGGAGACTGGTTAAGAGAATATTCCAATAGTCCTGCCATTAAATAATGAACACAGGGACTAGGGTGGGAACGGGGCTAAAAAATGAGCCATGCTCAAGAATTCTTTTAATGAAAAATATAAAAGAAATCTTGATGATTGCTTAGTTAAATGAGACATATAGAAAAGAGAATCAGAGATAACTGAAGTGTCAGGCCTAGGTAAGTGAGAGAATTAATTTGAAGTGGCAGAAATATGTTAAGAAGAATCAGACTGCGTGGGAGTGATAATATGAGACTTCATCTTAGGCTGGAGTTCTGTAGAGCCCTTAGTTGAATCCTTGAGACAGAATCATTTCATCAAGGCAAGAATGCAAAAGGCTGGACTGGACAAGGTATAGTTTAAAAAAAAAAAAGAATGTGAAAGAAACATGAAAAAAATGCAGGATAAAGATCAGTTTGTGAACTGTAGGTGGAATTCCACAGGACACAGTGAGAGGGTCTGGGAGAGAAAAGAATGGTATAAGGTTAGGTTGGAGAGAGGAAGCACAGTCAAGAAAAGTGATTTGAGAGCTTTTATCTTGAGTAATGACCAAGAAAGCAGATATGTAAGACATCACACACTTAATGGTTATAAGCAAATTAGTTGCGGGGGGGGGTGTCTATTCAGGATTCATCTGTGGCACAGAGATAAATGACTCTTCTGATGGAATTCCTGGTAGATAAGGAGACTTATGTTGCCCTCTGAGTAGCCATCTGTGACCTACATTGATCTCTTTGGTTCTAGGGGGAAGTTCCAGGCTTGAGGCTTCAGACATATAGGCACCGGATTTCTGAGACCCTGTGTGTTGGTAGGCTCCTCAAGAGTGAATAGGAAATCATTTTGGTATCCTATTCAGAGGCCTGCAGATTGCTATGTGTAAAATATAAGTTTAGGGCTGTCTGGTTAGCTCAGCTGGTTTGAGTATGATGTTGTTACACTGTGCTCAAGGGTTTGGATCCCCATACTGGCCAGCTTAGGAAATCATTTTGGTATCCTATTCAGAGGCCTGCAGATTGCTATGTGTAAAATATAAGTTTAGGGCTGTCTGGTTAGCTCAACTGGTTTGAGTATGATGTTGTTACACTGTGCTCAAGGGTTTGGATCCCCATACTGGCCAGCTGCCAAAAACAAAAACAAAGTTTAATAAATGTAAGAATGAATACCCTTCATGGTACTGAGTCAAAGTTAGAAAAGTATCTCAAGTTATCCTTAATGATCAGTAAATTTATCTGATGCCAGACTACTTGATTTTAACTTCCAAATCTGCCATTTACCACCTGTACACACCTGTGACCCTGGACAAATTAATGAACCTAACTGTGCCTCTATTTCCTATGTATAAAATAGTGATGATAATAATAATACCCACCTCGCAGATTTGTGAGTATCGAGTGAATTAAAACACATAAAGTGCTTAAAACAATGCCTGTTACACAGCACCTTCCTGAGGCATTACAGTATTTTCATACAGCATGAGATCAATTACCTTTTTAGAGTCCTGCACTACTATACAGTGCAACGAATATGATAACTTCTTCAAACTTCAACCATCACTTAAACACATCATCTCTGAAGTATCTGCTTACCTGGATCAAAATTATCACCAAATATTCTCTTGGCAGGAATCTTCAGGGCCATAGCAGGAAATTGTTTCTTTAACTAGAATTTTTAAAAATAGTATTATATGAACTACTTTTATAACTTTTTTAGTTATGCATAGACCAAAACCAAATACCACCTTATTTTAAAGAAAATCCATCATAAAACATACTTCTAAAATATGATCATCCAATGTACAATATTACATTATACCAATAAAATACCATAGACTGTCTAACCATCCTATTTTGTCCCAATAAACATTCAGTATCTATGTGATCTAAGTTACTTAACATATCTAAGCCTCATTTTTTTGCCTATAAAATGGAGATAATTTTAGAAACTATCTTAGATATTTGTTGTGAGACTTAAAGGAGATCATATATATTAAGTGCTTAGACTAGAACCTGGTATATAAGTTTTGAATACCTCTTATTCAACACTTATTACTTTAGGAGATGTGTTCTTTGTGTTCTTCCTACATAAATATATTGACAATAATTTTCTAAGAAAGCTGATGAATTTTTCTTTTTACCCTTTGCTGCCTTTTAATTCTAATATTAATATTCTAATAATACCATATTTGCTTATCCCCAGAGAAGGTAGACATGGCCCGGAAGAAATTAATTTGGGTACACTAACTCATAAAAATGGGTTATATTTTTTATTACAAACTTGATGACAAAAATCCACATGCACATATAAAAACTGTACATATAACTAACTACCAATTGACAGGAAACACAAAGTATAGAAGAACGTATTAATCACTCTACACCATGGGCATGCTGTCAGCAAAATCCAGACTAAAAAATCTGTAAAAAAATGACTCTGTTTTTTTCACAAAAAATTTGTAAAGGAAAGAAAACAGAGGTTGAGGAGGAACCCAGTGAGGAAGACACTTAATAGACTTATCAACCAGTCACATAAACACTAACTGGATATTTGATATTAGGCATTACTGTTAAATTTACTTTTAGATGCAATAATGGTACTCTGTGTGTGTGTTGTTTTTAAGAATCTTTATCTTTTAGAAGTGTATACTAAAATATTTATACATGAAATATGATGTCTGAGATTTGTGTCAAAATTACAGTGGACTTGGGCTGGCCCGGTGGCGCACTGCTACAGTGCGCCGCTTG